GAGCTTCACCATGTAACGGTATCAGATTGGTAAATGTAAATCAACTGGGGCCATCTGTAAGTTAGGAAAGTGAGGTGCTGACTTTGTTTTTAATAGCTTTGATGGTTTTATGACTTTATAATAGTTTATTATAAACAGAACCATTATGGTTTCTCAGAGATTTCCACACCAAGGTTCCTTTCCCTAGCTATCCACAAAATAACTAAACCTACACTTCCAACTGATGGCAACTGAGAGCACCGGAGCACAGATACACTTGGTTTTCTCCCAAAAAACTTGCTCCACCTTCAGACTACAAAAATCCACATTACACAAGGCACTTGAGAGGAAACTGAGATCAAGATTTGGGTGACTTCAGGCAACTAACAGCCTCATCACTCCTAGGATCCCCCTTTAGTCAACAGACAGGAGAAGAGAGTATTCTCCAGAGACTCAATCAGACCCGTGGTCTCACTGCATCCCGATTAAGTGCCCGAACCCAAACGCTGAAGCAGAGGCAGCGAGCGGCAGGGTAGGCAGAGTCGTAAAACTCGGAGCCTAATTTGCAGTACGCTCACTACCCTGCGGGCAGCTCCGAGTTCTGAAAACTTTCAGTTTCCACATCATCGCCTTCAATAAAAGCTGCGCCTCGCCAGCTCTGCTCTTCCTTCCGCGCTTCGCCCGGCCGCAGCGGAGGCTGGCGAACGCTGGGAAGGCAGATGCCCGCCCAGACGGGGCTGCCACGAGGTACAGCAGCCCACGGCCAGGCAGTTCTACACCCACGGTTTTCTTCTCATAGAAACGGGACTCAAACGTTTTTCTCTTCCTCGAAAAATATACAGCAAAGAGGTTTTTAATGTCCTTGCATAAATCTCAGAGCAATTGTGCTGAATACAAAGGTGCCTTTTCTTTCCCCCCTCTTTATTTTTTGTTGTTTTTTTACAAAAATCACTTTTCCCCACACATGAAGAACGAGGCCTGAACTGCGTGTTGTCCATAAAGTCGCCACAAAACGCTGTATCCAACGCTGTTCTCATTTTTTCACTACAAAATATCACCAGCACTAGGTTTTAAATCTTTTATCTTTTCACATTAAATATTGTACTTAGGAGGTCTAAAATAAGCAAAGCTAACCATCTGCTTTCTAATCTTGAGCAAAGCACTCATCACTGCCGTTTTGTGCATGTGTTTGAGCGTTACCTGCTTGCCTGACTTCTGTTACTGCACATGCTTGCTGTCAATTGTATGCAGAGGGAAGAGACTTCATTGTAATTATCATATAGGTGGTTAAAACACTTCAGATCTTAAGCTGAAAATACAGTGCTGACAGTTTGAAAGTGTCTCTTATGATTTCTACAGCACAATGCTTAGTTTACTAACAAACTGCAAGAAAAATAAATAGAACAGTCTATTCACAAGACTCTCACTTCCCCCAACCCTCCCTTTTTTGGTGTGTTTTTTTTTAATGTACTATACCTGCATTTTCAAATACTTTTCTTTTATTTAGGGAACAAAAATATTAATAGTGATGTTCTATTATTGAAGAAAACACATTCAAGGCTGAAGCGCTCACAAGAAACGAAAGTGCAACAAGGAATTTTTAAAGATAATAATTTTTTAATTTACAGTTTTCTGTAAGCCTAGTGTTTTGACACATGACTAGATGCTTTAGAAATCTGGTGTTTGTTTCGGAAAGTAATGCATCTTGATGAAGAAACCAAATGTTCTCACTTAGAAGCTCTCTTTTGGGAAGGACTGCCAAAGCAAAAGCTTTCCTTTTTGTACTGTTCAAGTTAAAAAACCTGTAGTAAAAAATTTCATTTAAATGATACAGCCTGCAACAAAAACACAAAGCGGTGGAAAATAGGTACGTTTCTTCCTTCCTGTACAACCGAATTCATCATGAAGCCAACAACCTGCATTTTAGTTGTACAATTTAATTAAATTATAACTCCAATGATTTTGAAATAAACTATTAAAGAACTATTAAAACAGAATTAATTACTAATATATTACACCCCAAAACAAAAAGCTCCTAAATTTAGCGTTATTCTTTATGATCCTATGGAAGCTACCTATTTTCATCGCTGCTTTACCTGCTTTTATGAAAAGAGTTGATAAAGTTACCGCTGGGTAACAATTTCATCTCTCTGGTCTCTGGAAATCTGGTCTTCTGAAGGACACTATCACTGAGCTAATCTCGGTGATGTACTATTTCACAATGTATTTTTAATTAAATCAAACAAGTATCTTACAGAAGTCTCCGAATTTTAAATATGACTTTAGACCAAAACCCTTTGGGCTATTATTCTGTTGTTTCCTCCTAGTCCTTGGTTGTTTCCTGGGGCACAGCCAGAGCACAAGCAGCTTGGGACAGGGATTGTCTCTTCTTCAGAATCTGAATCCTGAGGCCAAGACCCATGGCTGAAGTTCGTCAGGATCACGGCAACACAGACAATGAACACTTCAGAGCAAACCTAAGGTTCACATTTTAGTAAAGAAATAAGGCTTGGGCAACCCCAAACTAAAATACTCTATTATAGCACAAGTTTAGAGTTTTCACTTGAAAGTGCTGAGGATCCCTCTGGAATTTGCATTCATGTCCGATAGCATTGATGCGATTTTAAAACAAACAGCTTGTTCCATAAACCTTTTATATCGTTTCTCAAAAGACCTTTCTACATTCACTCCAGACAAAATTCATCACCAGTATAACTTCACCTTTGGTGGCGACTGCTGCTGTTTGGTGGTATTCACTGAATGCTGATGCCGAAGAGCTCGAGGGATAAACTCAGGAGCCAGTGGGTTCAATACGTAAGTTTTCTTTAACTCCAAAGCTTCCAGCTGAGCTTTGATCTGTTCAAACGTGATACCATGGAGACTTTCATTCTCATGACAGAGGGCAATAAACCTTTCCCAAAATTTCCTATGGAAACAATAAAAAGGAGTAAGACTCGACGGCTGTTGCTAAAATGAAAAGAGATTTAATATAACTGTGCGGCATTTTTATTTCTCGCGTATGCTCCTTTTACACACCGAGCCATCCAACCTGCAACCTGATCCACGTATCTGAACCCCCCAGCAAAATGCAAAGCTCCCCAGTCATTTCAAATGGACACATGGATCTGTCCCTGCAGATCAGATCGCAGCACTGGCTGTATATCCCATTGAATATTAATGTCACGGACAGGTCTAACTTGGAATTCTTTCCTGGAAAACCAAACACAGCCAACACAACGTTTAAAATTCTTGAAAGCACATGATTTATGAAATTCATGGAAGCTCAGAGAGTCACAGGGATTACAGATACTCTAGTTCAGCCTTCAGTAACAAGGTCTGGCCTATAAGCACACACTGTTATTTCCCAAAATCTGTAAAATGAGAGATTGCTGCACACTAATTCTGACAGCAGCAGCACATTTTGCTGAGTAGCTAGCTTTGCGGAAAAGAATAAATGTCTTTCTTGCAAGAATACCATAATGTTACGGACGTACTTAAGAATTCAAATTAGTTTTCCCTAAATGTCCATCTTCCCTTGTGATTTCACAGAGGCCAGAAATGCTCTTTTAAAATTCAGGATGCAAAATGACCCTTTTCCTGCATTTCGCTGTAAGGCAAATCTATCTTGCAAGGTTCTAAGTGAGGATTAAGAACCAAAATGAAATACTTCACTGGGATGCTTTAATGATGGAACTCCCCCTGATTAATCAATTCAGTCACCAAACCTACTGCCAAGTACCACAAATCCCCTGAGACCCATCCACTTTTGCTTAAAATGCCCCGAGCAGTCTCTCTACACATGGAACACTTGTTCTGGGGTGTAAGAACAGAGAATAAAATACTGCTTAGATTGTCTCTCTGTCTTAGAGTGTGCTCTGGAGTTTAAAGGGAGCGTCTGCCAAAACAGCCCTGTCTAGTCCGATTGTAACACAAAGAAATGTAATGATTACCCTGGGCACACTTCACAAAGCTCTCTACAACGATCATTACAGAGTCTTGACTCATTTTGACAGGTATTAGAATATTTATAAAATTCAAGCACTCTCTAAACTTTTTTGAGGTCTGTTTTTCCTAATGAAATGTCACTTCTTTCAGACTTCTCTACTCCTGTTGTACTAAAAAAGAACCATCTTCCTAGCAGCATGCCTGAGCCCCTCCAGCACTGTTTTCAAAGAGTGAATGTTCAATTATTCAGTGAAACACGACAACGGTGTACTAAAGGGAAAGCTTGGGATACATCTTAATAAAGCTCCAGTGCTCCTTGTTTCTTAATTATCTTTTGGGTTTGTAATTTTGAACAGCTGTACATATATAAACAGCTGCTGGTTCTTCGAAAGGCAAACTCAACCCCTAACTGCCAAGACTCTAATTTATATACCACGCTCATAGGCTATACTTTTAAGTAAGGCCCTATTTCAGATATTTTGAAGGAGCCATAAATTGGAGAAACTGCTGAGCCCCCACATTTGTAAACCGGTTCCCCTTTGGGTTTCTAATTTAAAGCCTCAACACTCAGCTTTACGTGAAAATTCAAGAGATTATCTTCGTCACTGAGATGTGGAGAGAGTAAGACACATGGTCTTTCTCCAAAAAAAGCGGTATTTAGGCAGCTGGTTAGAGAACCAATAATGTTTAGCCACATTAACTAGGGATTAACTGACTCTCTGGCTTAGGTAACACTGCCCATCCTGAACCTCAGTGGAGGGAAGAGAAGTAAAAATTTATCAACCGAGAGCAATTTCTGAAGAAGCGGTAAGAGAAATCTCAGTCAGCACACGAGGGCAACCTCTATCAGTGGCACAGGCTGACGAACCAGAGGCTGTGCCAGCAGGCTCCAACAGACACTCGGTGCTTGGGGATCGAGCGCTCGGCAGGCACAGAGCTCCTTCCCATCAGTTATTTCCATAAACCTGATCGTGTCCAAAAGAACCAAGCAGGTAGTGGGAAAAGTGAAATAAACCCACCACCATTATTTCTCTTTTAATAAGATGTTGTCAGCAGTTTCGAGCAGATCATGGTATTAATTTACAGCTACTTCTGACACTTCCCCAGCAGTTAAGTGGCAGGTATCTCACACTTTAGCTCTGTAGGCTGTTCTACATGGTGACACAGTAACTCTGGACAAGAAGGTAAAACCAGAACAAAAAAAAGAACGTAAAAAAAAATAGAAAAAAAAAGACTTGTCCATCCATAGAGGATATTTTAAAAGAAAACAAAACCAAAGCCATGTCCCCTCTCTTCCCTGTCACCAAGCCTTACTAATCAGGGGACAGAGCAGCCCTTGTGCAACCACACGCTCCCAGCTCTTCCAGAGGAGAGTTGGCAGCCGGCAGCGCAGGAATTACCGCACGGCTCGGTCTCTGCAGGGCTCCGACTGCCTGCTCCGCCTCGGCCTCTGCAGGGCTCCGACTGCCTGCTCCGCCTCCGGGGCGAGCTTCGCAGCCGCCCTGGACAAGCTGAACTCACTCCTGGCAGATCCAAACATCTGCAGGAGCTGGGAACATGACTAACGCTTTCCCATCTCTATGGCATTTCTATGGATACAAACGAGAAGCATTACAATTTCATTACACGGCTATTTTAAGGGTTTAAATATATTGTGTCTAATTTGGCACCTAAAAGAACATCCATCATTTTATGAAATCCATCAGTCACAGATAAACACATTTTGAGTACGCTTAGCCTTGACTAACTATGGAATACATAGAAAGTACCTGCATCTTCCAATGGAACATAGAGCAATAGGATCTCCCACCACAGCTACCAAGGATTGTGCTCTGGTAATGGCAGTGTTGAGAAGTTTGTAATTAGACAGAAAACCATAATCCAAGTCTTCTGTTGAATCCTCCAGTAACTGCTCCTTCCTTTTAATTGGTGTTTGCTTATGTTTGCACGTATGCCGTGTTCGTACTGTGCTGAGAAACAAAACTCTAAACTGTTTTCCTAAAATGAAAGAAAAAACAAGCATCTGAGATAATTGTAACTACTTCTGGTAGTAACACAACCAGTCCATCGCACTTGCCTGTCAGATTTCATATCTAGATATTCTGAAGAACTGGTAGCTACCTCTCACATGAACTGCTTTGTGCGAGAATAATAAGATTTAAAAATTTTAAGAGAGACATTATTAATAGCATAGAATATTTCCTCTTTAAAAAACTTATTTTTCATCTTGATGTTAATCACTTCCTGAAATGGTAACTACCTTTACGTTGCTGCCAATCAGCCAAAAACAAACCTTGGATTTATTTAATCTATCTTAAAAACCAAAAAAAGTTCTGGACATTTACGTTTTATGTTTTAAAATTTCTCAACTATACAAGTATCTATCATGGAGAAACAGAACACACCACTCACTGTCACTCAGCTACTTTATTATCTCCCTTTGTTTATTACTGAATAAAAGTGCAACCTAGCAACAGGCTGTGCCTACATAAAACTCTTGTTATCAATGCGATTCCAGGAACAAATACCTAAATTTGTGGATTCCTTTTTACAGTCTATTCCACAAATGCAGAAATCAGTAAAATATTTTAAGGCTAAAGCCTCGTTACATTTTTATTTGGAACTCTGTTTCTCCCGTTATGGCAAAAATCCATCAGTTTTCACATTTTTCACTCAATTTATTTTTATAATAAAGCTTGAACTTAATTTTGTAAAAAGATAAATCTCACATCCACTAGTTTATTGCCTTGGTATTCAGTGTTGGAATAACATCTAATCGGCACACTTGCCAGTTTCATTTTGATACGTCGTTTTTTATGGGCTATATCACAGCTCTCCTTTTGTTCTGATCAGTTTAAGATTATTTCAGTAAGTCTTACTTATCCTCGCCACTCACTTTTTTCACTTCCTTCGCATATATTTGAGAAATAAAACTATCACTTACCCTGAACATTCAGCACTCTCTCTACGCTGACATCAGACAGTCTTTTTTTGCGGAGTTCAGCCCGAATTCTGAACACTTGATCAGCGTAAGGAGTTACGACACCTATACTGCCGTCATCCAATTTGCCCCAGGCAACAGGCCATTTTCTTCTTAATTCTTCAACGCGCTCTACTACTTCAAATACCTTAAAAGAAAGTCAGAATTCTTAAAAGTATGCTCCACTGAAGAGGATTCTTTGATACGGAAAGAGAATTTGAATTTTAAAGCTCTCATTCATGTGACACAGTATTGCACAGTCTTACTGAACAAGCAATACTACTGCATTCTATAGTGATACTCTAAAATATCATTTATTAAAACAATGCATTTGCTATACAGTACCTATTTTAATCATGACATAAAAGCTTACCCCCAAAAACATCACTTTTAAAGTACAAACTGGGAAATTATATTAATAACTTTAAATTTCATGCTTATATTCTTACGAAAATATCACGTATGGTAGGACCTTATCATACTTTACTTGATTTCCATAATTAAATATACTGCCTAAATAGGGACTATTTTATTTTTAATATGGATTTTATATACATCATATTACAGTCTGATAACTCTAGAAAGAGAATATGCACACCAGATCACAATCACTTCCCATTCCAAAGGATACTGTCAGGAGTTTTCAGATAATTCAGCTGGTGGTTCATCTCTATGCAATACTATTAAGTATGCTACTTAAAAAGACTAATGAGTAATAAAAACTGAAAATCTCCTTCTGTGAGGAGATGGGTTCAAAGTAACCTTCTGCCACAGAGTGCCGAGGCACAGCAGCTGCTGCTGCCGTACGCGGAGCGGAGACGCTGCCCCGCAGAAGGGATTTCTGAACGACCTTACGGAAGGCTTGCGACGTTTTTTCTTTTTTTTTTTTAAATAAACATTTACATTCAGAATATGTTGACGTCAGTCGCAACACATCAATGTGTCATTCAATAAATATTTAAGGCATGAAAATTGATGAAAGCAGTTTTGCTGTAGGATCACAGAAGCAAGCTCAGCCTCCCAATGGAAGGTGGGCACGGAGGCTCTCCGACCACAGCCTCAAGTATTCTTACGTTTCTTCTCTTCCCTATTCAACCAGTTATTTTGGGCTATGGGAAGAGGGTGTTAAAATAAATTTAATGCTCTTAGCACTATCATTTCTTCAAATTGGTAAGTGGGAATTCTAGGGACTTTTATGGACATTTCAGGAACATAAAAAGCGATATAAATCACAGTGGGTAGGTACAATAGGATAGAGCACAGTAGTTCCTAACTGCTAAGGCTGCTGTTTCATGCTGACTTCTTAGGATCCAAGACCTGATTACATGTCAAACATTCTCATTTAAGTGTATTCTTTAAAAAATAAATCTAAACTGTAACAGTTTACTGAAAAACTTGGGGGAAAAAACCTTGTTCTACTGACAAAGGATATTAGAATAAACCTTGATGTCTATAAAAAACATAGCACAAATATAATGATCTTTTGCAGGTATTTTGGCAAGCTCCTCTGAAAGCATACAGCTTCTGGATATGTATTTAGAATCAACATTACACAGGGAAACTTTAGACTTAAAACCAAAAGGGAATGTGTATTTTCCAGAAGAATACTTAATATAGGCACCAACAAACCATAAGAGGCCTCAATGGAAACGTCCATTTAGGGTCCACCAGCAAAAATCTCCCTCATCATCTGAATTTCAGTTTTACATGTTGGTGTCTAAGCAGCTCCTGTCCTTCATTTCTGCCTGTAGCTACTAATGACTCACAGTTTTCAGACAGTTACTTGGCTACTGAAGATATTTTTAGGGTTTTTTACAACTTTTTTTAAATGGCAAAGCAATCCAAGTAGATTAATGAAAGTAGTCAGGTTCCTTCAGTTTCTTCAGTGATGTGTCCAGAAGTCACTGGAGCTTCTTATTTAAGTAGATATTTTAATACATCAAAGAATACATAACAAGTGCAGCCAAATAACAACAAAGACGTTAAAAATTGTGCATCAGATGAAGTGCACCATGATCAACAACAAGACACACAGGCAGCTCTGCAGTGCTTCGTAATGAACACTGCTGCTAAAGTGCAACCTAACTTCGGTTAAAATTCCTTGTAGGTAAAGAAAATTAGTGATATTTCCTTATTTTTCTTTAAGCGTCAAGGGCATTTCCTTAAGATATCTTTTTGGTGGGAAAGAAAAAAAAAAAAAAGGAGTTGGATCAACCCTCCCCTAACTTGAGGTGACTGCAAAAAGGCATCTTCCACCACGAAAAGCATTACCAAGTCAGGGGGAAAGGTGTGGGATTTTGTTTGGTTTTGTGGGTTTTGTCATAGGATTTTTCTGTGGGTTTTGTTTTGTTTTGTTTTTAACTCAGGGGAAGGAATAAGAAAGAAAGTGATTTTTGAAGAATACAAGTAAGTCTAGGTGAAACCAACACACTGAGACCAAGTTACCACCTAAAATAATCTCATCTGCACATGATCAGTTCGACACCGATCCTAAGCATATTAAAGCAAATATGAAATGTTACTCTAGAGGACTCTTATCTGAGTGGGAACATTTCTACAACAGTCAAAGAAATCTAAGTTTTACTTCAAACTGCAGTTACCCTCAGTTGCTAAGATACGTCCATCGCGATGTCACAAAAATTATCAGGAAAGACATCCTGAAGAATGAGCCTGAGAGAACTATATGCAGCTTACAATTTGCAAAGGAAAAGAAAGAAGATAAATTAGTGGAAATGTTTACCACAATCGCAATTTCACTACTTCGTGTTTAGCAAACTCCATGTTCTCCTATCCTAGCAAAGGATAATTTATGTTTTCCATCTACACCAAGCACAAACCAACAAATCGGGGGGGAATGGAGCTATAAGAAAACAATCAAAAATTAAATCAAAGACAACTTACCTCTGCATTATTGTAAAAAGCTGTACTATTTTTTTCTTGCACATCTTCCCCACGTGCTGTGAAGAAAGTCAAAGGGTAGAAATCTTTGTGTGCTGGCTGCTTTCCACTTGCCATCAATTTGCCTTCATAGAAAAGTTCAGATGTGTAACTGTGACAAGGCAAAACAGAATAAAATGTGGAGTCTACATATGAGCACACTAATAAAATATGCAATCACGAAATATTTCATAAGGAAAACACAGCCACTGATTGACATTCGGCATCTTCAAGTGATTTCTCTGAACTGATATTTCCATACTACAAACCGAGCAGAAGGCACAAAAAACGTGCTTTACCAACACTTTTTTCTACAAAGGCGGTATTTTCTTCTAATCTAAAGCTCGATAAAGTTACGAACGTTCACTAATGTTTCGCTTAGAACTTCTGGTGACTTGAAACGAGGCAAAAGGAACACTTTGCTGTCTGGCACTGGTTATGCCCCAGGCTGGGGACAACAAGCCTGCTGACATCAGTGGAGAGTTGTTGAACTTGAAAGGTAAAATTACTCAAGTTTTCACACGGACTGAGCACACCACAGGCCAAGCGTTCAGCTTTCAAGCAAGCTTTTTCCCTGAGACTTGTAGTTCAGACCAATCGATGTTGCTAGTCAGGAGAAACACGAACAGAACATACCTCTGCTGGCAGCAACCGTTGCAGAAGCTGCCTGACTGGCAAAGGAATGAGGCGAGAGCTACTTACATTGTTAAAACCAGGAGGGAAGAAGGTAAACCGAACCGAACGAGACAAAAAGCCAGCAAGAAGAGGCTGCAGATTACTCCCAGTAGCATTGTATACGTGTAACAGAGCTAAACTAATGTACCGGCTTTCATTAATGAGTGAATTCTAGTTTAACCTAACTTTTGAATGCTCGACCTGCAACCTTAATGCTCTTTGGATAGAGCTCTGTGGTTGCGGTAGCGTGAACGCAGCCTGACATGAAGACAAGAACAGCAGAGACGGTGCAGTCAGTGGGCCCACTGAGTTCTTCCAGGCTTTGTGTAACTTCAGCTGTAAATAACGGGTCACAGAAAAGCTCCAGAAACTTGTCTGCTGCCAAATAATCACCAAAGAACCGCAGCCCACTACTGACCAGAACTGGTTTGCGCTGCGCAATCCTGAAGAACATGCTACTGTTTCGTGGATCGAGCTGCAGCAGTCCCCTGCTGCCAATGAGCAGATTAATTTCTTTAATTAACAATTTTCTTCTGCAAATTAGTTCTTAGTAACGAATTCTCATTAAACCATAAAAAACCGTTTCTAGAAGGGCTATTTTTCTCCAATCACTGCTCCAAAGTCAGGCAATTTCTTCTGCAAATTAGTTCTTAGTAATGAATTCTCACTAAACCATAAAACATCCTTTCTAGAAGGACTGTTTTTCTCCAATCACTGCTCCAAAGTCAGGCTGAACTAACGGCTTGTTCTTTGCTTCATTTCTCCCGGTCTCTTTACCTCAGTTGGGTAGGAATGATCAATGAGCCCACCACAAACCACCTTCCTACCCTTAACTCCTGTCTTAAGCGCCATGGTCCTATTTGTCAGTGGAAATTCCAAATTATTAAAAAAAAATCTAAAATTTTTTAAAAAGAGACTTGAAACAACATCCTAAATGGACCACTGGCCAAGTATTTAGCAGGTTTCACAGATCTTTCTAGGAACTTACTCTCTGAACTCTAACTGCTGAAGCAAATTTTCATGATCTTAGAGGCAAATTCCATTGAAGTGATCTCTAACCAAAAGCAGAAATGACCCCTCCCCTTTCAGATTCTCTCTCGTTTCAAACTTACAATTTCAAGGACCATGCAAGAAATTTCAGATTCACTCAGTCTTATAATTACAAAGCCCATAAAATGAAGACTGATCTAGCTGCGCAAGAAAACGCGTTACATTCTCACTTTTGATTCCCCACAGCACTTAAATACTTCTGCTTTTGCTTTGAACACTGTGATAACCTAATTAGTATGACCAGATACCAACGTAATACTCATCAGTACATATCTGAGCCAGGATTTAAACTTTAGCATTTTTCCCCATGATTGCACTTACTCTTTCTAGCATAGCTCATGGATGAGCTCATTACACTAGCAGCCATTAGTTTATCATAGCATAAAAATGCAAACCCACTGATTAATGTCTTGAAAGAAGGAATAAAAGAAGACAACAGAAAACACAGAAGTCCAAAATTTGACCTAGTGTTTTCTGTCCATAGTGGTGTACCTGTATTTTCCTTGCATCTCACATAGCTTACCATTTCAAGATAATCCAGCTCAGTAATTCTAAAATCGTGAAAGAGTTTAAAGAAACACAGATCTCCAAGATATACCGCATAATGGTTAAAACGGGAAAGTCAGCTCTTCCTTGGCTTAATCTGCAAATCCTCCAGTCAAAACATCCCCAACTCAATGAGGGGTCTGTACCAGAAGTAACAGAACCCTTGCCCTCTGCTGCAGGACACTGATTTCCAACCTAGTAACCAAGAATTACTCCAACAATTAACTCCGAAACAACTATGATTTCATTCCAAAAAGCTTAATGCTTCTCCCTTCATTCAGCTGTGCTTGGTTCAAGAGTTGTTTTGCTCACTCACAGCAGTCAAAGAAACACGTGATACAGTGAAAAAGTTCACACCTACTTGATGATAGCTTCATGGGAGCGATAGTTCTCACACAGCAAGATCCTGCATGGAAATTCTGCAGGGTAGTGCTCATAGAGCCGATCAAGCAATGAAACATGAAGGTTTCTTTCCCTGGCAAATTCACTGTAGACAAAAGGACTGAGCTGTAATAGACACACACACACAAAGAAAATGTAACTAAATATGTGGACTTGGAATTTCATGCTCCCAACAAAACTATTTTGTATCCAAAAAAACAAACCCAACCCAAACTTCCTTTTACTGTACATTTCATAGTTGGAAGATACGTATCATGGCTATTGCATAGAAATGCCCATTCCTACTGTAAAAGTGAACAAAAAAATCATCATTCTCTTAAAGGAACAATGAAACATTCAATAACTATTCAAAGAGCAGGGAAGAATCGTTTTAGATATAAGTTTTTTCCTTTGTGGCTTGCACAGATGAATAACTCAAAGCAGAAAGCTGTTTGACAAAAAAAACCCAAACAAAACCAAAACAGCAACAAACCAAACAAAAACAACAACAAAAAACTCCCTGTGTTTTAAATTACATTACACCATTACTCTGACAGTCACTTTACAGTTAATTTACTACCATCGACAGTACAGATCAGAAAATACAGAAATTTGTAAACACGATTTTAAGAAGCAGAAAGTCATTGCAGAAGTGGAAACCCAAGCAGCCCAGTTACTATTCCACTAAACAACTGCTGAGCTTGTTTAACAATAAAAACACCATTAGAGCAGGAAAAATAGAACTAAAGGCAATGAAAAAAGTTTGCTTAAATAAAATTTTAAAATGTAGAAATTAAGCCAATCTATTTTGCAATTCTGAATACACACGATCGAGTTTCCCTTCAGATAAATAGTGGTTTTGGAAAACTAAATACTGAATACCTCATAGAGTAGCTTCTGTAAGAACCTGAGCTGTAGACTAGATCTTGATGAGCGTAGCCTGAGACCCACAGGCCAAGCCAAGACTGCAGCCAGCTGGGCTGTAGCGATCTAGCCTGAAGTGGTTAAGAATTCCCATCTCTTAAAAAGCACTTTTGAGATCAGTATTTAAAAAGCACCATCCCAGTCCTTGGGATTACTATCACCATGACTTGATCTAGTAGCATTAAATTATAGGTGGCAACACTACTTTTATTACCATACTAAAGCAAACATCCACTCTGTTACTATTGTGAAATGTCAAGAGAATTAATGGCAAATCTATAAAAACAAATAAATCTGGCCTAAATCAACAAAGCGAGTAAAGCTGATTTTCCCAAGCGTGCTTTCTCATGCCTACAGGCTGCAAAACGACACACACAATCAGCCTTCGAAACTCTTCTGAACTCTTTAATCCAAGCAATTCCTAGGCACATCACAGGAACATAAAGGCACTGGCTAGTTTCAGTTTCCTGTTTCTTCCTTGTTCAATCCCTTACCCGATTATGATGCTTCTAACACTCATTCTCCACATCCTTCATTGCTTTCAAAAATCAGCAGGGAACACCAGTCATAAAAAGTAGGAGAAACTCCCACCCTGACTGTAGTAATAACCATTCCCTTATCTTACACAAACAACAGCCCTTGAATTTTTCTTGGCTTCCCCATTATACAACAGGCAAAATTTATGGATCTCTGGCTTTAAAATGATACTTGACTTGCATGTAGGTCAGTGTCGAATGGGTCCAAGTCTGTTCTATCACAGGTTTCCTACATAACCTTGGACAACTCTCTGCTTTCTGCCTCAGTTCTCCTACTGTAAAACAGAGACAGCACCATATTCTCACTTAGCAGAAATATCATGAACCTACGTTAGAAATGACAAGATATTCACAAACCACAGGAATGTGGAGCACATAAGTAACTTAAATATATAACTACTTGACATTTAAAAGACCTATAGCTCTTACCTGCATATGGTCTCCAGCCAAGACAATTCTTGTGTTTTTATTAGCCAACGCTAGAGGCATGATAGTTTCACACTCCATAGCTTGCGCAGCTTCGTCTAACAGAATGTGTGTAAAAAACCCTGTAAAACAGAAATATTGTTAAATAAATGAAACTTGAAATACGGTAAAATAAACAGTGACAAGAACACAAGAAATTGCACTCAAAGTTCTGTATTCTGATAGTATCCAAAACTAGAAAAAATTTGGTATGGCTTACACAAACTAATTTTGAGCAACTACCAGAAGGCACACAAATTGTTTTCAAACCCATCAGGTAACCAACAGTGGTCACAGGTTGCCAGGAACATGAGCAGGAGCCCACAGATGTGCCTCTGCATCGAGTTAAACAAGTGTTTTATCTGAGCTCTCCTTACACCAAGAGGAAATGTCTCTTGGAAGACTTCGCTCAGTAGGTTTCTCAAATCTAAAAATCTTTTTTCATCACCACGAGGCTTGAAGAGCTTTGAACAATGACAAGGAAAAGGACATCCTCAGGTACTGGAGTCATATTACCTACTTTATATACTAAATTCCCCATGAAAATTGCACACGTACCTGGGCGTTTTGCTGGTTATGGGCTTTAAGGAATGTCAGGGGGGAAAAAGGAACAGAAGTTGAAGGAAAATTTAAATTTAACCTCATGATAATATCGGACCAAAAGGTTTGTTGGGTGGGAATCTACTCACCAGATAACATGCACTTGAAAAAAAATGGGCCACAGTAGACTTATATTTTATGAAATGTAAATTCAGGATAAGTATAGAAGTGCTTTTAGACATTGACATACATACTAAGGTTTAAAACAAAGTATTAGAGGACTTAAGAGTACCATCCAATTAAGATTATATAGATTAAAAAAATGACTGATTTTCTTTGGAATAGTGTGACTTTACACAGCTCACTGCCAAAGAAAGCAGTTACTTCTATCTAAAGATCTGAGAACGTTTACCATAAATTCCATATTAGTTTTCTCTATGGCAGCAAATGCCTAAACACAGCCATAAAAATCTAACTGTAACAACTTCTGTGAAGAAATTCTAGGTTCTCCAAAAAGCAGAAGGATTTCAGTTGGATATCAAGAAAAGAATAAACCCTAAGTAGCCTCTGTCCCCCCAAAAATCAGGCTAATGTATTTCAGTTTAGAAAACAACCCGAGAAGTATCCCATTAACATAGCATGGGCTTGTACATGTGGGAGTTGTTTGTAAAGCTAAACAAGTCACAAAACAAGAAAAAAAAAACCACCTTTCTCTGTGTGTATTTATGCTTACATGCTCCACTGAGTAATGACCTTAATGAGCATAATATTCAAAGTCAGAATCTCAAATAGAATTTTCCCTCTTGGATCTCAGAATCACCAGATCAGAGATAGCTCTGCTTCTTTAATTTTTTTAAATAAGGAAAAAACAGAATAAGTAAAAGGTTAATTTGAATGCCAGCAGTTTACAGCTTGGAAATAAACATTTATTCATTTAAAAAAAAAAAAAAAGAGAGAGAAAACCATTTTAAGATGATCATTGCTTAGTTTATTTTTCATCAGTTCGAAGAATTGGGGAAGGAATTGACACTGGTAAGAGGAAGATAATTCTCAAGCATGGACTGTTCTTGTTCAGCAATTATCTTACCTGGTTCGAGATCCAGTTGACATAGATACTGTGATGTATTTAAAGTAACAACTACAACGCGTTGCTTAAGAATGTCTTCTTTCTGTGGCATCTGAAAGGTGGAATGTGTGCTTGAAATCAAACAGTACTGATGCACAACTGGGTGGACAGTCTTTACCCAGCGATTTCTGAAATATACCCTAGAAAAGAAAAAGGGGGCTTATCTTCCATCCAGTTTGAATAGAGCAACAGTCTAATATTTCAAATTCTTAAATCTGTTTCCTGGCAAATAAAGGTAATCTTCAGGAAGCAAAACATCACAACTATGCAGAATTACATGCTAAAACATGCTAAAATGTCTCGGATTTACCTTCCGTTCTTTGCTGCAATGCAACACTAGACAGATGAACAGTTACCACATACGGAAATCGGTAAATTCTTCACACATTTACGTTCTGCGACCCTCGCATCCAGGTCTGTTTCACTTTAAAGTATCAGTAAGTTCATTTTAAAGAAATATTTCCTTAGCTGAAAAATAAATACAGCTCATAGTCTTGGAACTGACAGAGCTGTAGTGGCCTGCACCTTTCATCGATGGCAGCCATACGATATTTTAAAAAAAATAAAAATCAAAAGAACGAATAAAATACCATATTTGCTCTTACGAATACTACATGCCTTCTGAGTTGTAAAAAACAAACAGATAGTACATTCGCTTTTTTTTGTCATGCAGGGCCATTATTATGATACACTGTATAAAATAAAAGAGAAAACAGCTCTAAAAAAGATGGCTACAGTCTAAAATATCAGGGCACTGTCAGCAAAGCACTGGACTGCAAATATCTTTCCATGACAGATAATTTTAATCACCGCATTATGAGATCAGTGATGCATTTTCCTTTAAAAACTGATGAAAGGTTACAGCCAGCCAGGGCAAACGGAAGAGGAACAGGGAAGACACAAAGACTACGGCCCAGAAAAGAGAGTACGAGTGACTCCGCTGAGGTTCGGGGCACGTACCAGAGCCCTCCAGCTGAGGAGCTGGATAAAAATGTCAAAAGGCTGCGCCATGGGGTGCTCCTTCAAAAATATAATCTGGATCAGGTAAGAACTGTGAATCTAAAGTGGGACCTTTCAACTACAGGAAACTATTATTCAGTGCTAACCTTCAGAATTCATGTTATTTTAATTTAATTCCAAAGCAAATTAGGATTAAATTATTTAACCTAATTTTAGTTCTCACTACGGGATCTAATGCTGTTTGGTTTATCTATTCATTATTTATTTTCTCCCGCACCCACTAATCCCAAATCATTAACAAAGTGTTCGGAAAAGTGTAATTATGCACCTAAGGGTAAAATATCATTGCCCTGACTGGACTTTGGGTATCACACGTCCACCCACGTTTGAAAATAACAGCTCAGGTCCATATGACGTGAGAGAAACAATTATCAGGGTTACAGTAAATTTGGGTTGGGAAAATACCACGTCCATCTGGGACAACGGGCACAAAATGAAATGCGAAGAGGTACAGAGGCACCACGGCAGCAGTCCCGAGAGCTTTTCAGTCTGACAGCACAACCAACCAAACGTGACACGTGGTGACCAAAGGTGACCCCG